AGATTCGGAAGTGAGCTGGCAGATTTATTGACAGCCCATAAGTTAGGTAGATGACTATGTGTGGTACTGAGAGTGAGAAAAGTTGGCACTGTGCCCCTCGTAGAGAAACAGATGAATTGCCCAAGGTGGCAATAGGGCTATTTCTTTGCCTCTATTCTTGAGTTAAATTTCATTTTTGCAGGGATATACCAGACTGATTCTGCTGGGGTCCATAAACAGTCATAAACCTATGACCAATAGTTGATGAGACCAGTAATGCCTAAGCAGGGGTGCAGGATTAGTGAGCTGCCTGGTTGAAGGTCACCTTGGCTCACCAAGAAAGGACACTTAGCCTCCTAGAGGAGAAACAGGAAGTGGCTCTTATGTCACTGTTAGAGAACTCTCTAAGTGGCAAGCCCACTCCTGATTGGTGGAGCTCAGCATTGAGGCAGTCCCTGCCCAGGGATGCTGTGGCCAGACTCCTGCAGTAGGCTCTGGGAGTGGAAAGATTTCCATATAGGAGGCTAGCAACATGCATACTCTGTCACCAAAAGACAGGAAGTCAAATATTTTGTCTGCCCTAAGAAAACAAAAACAAAAGCCCACCCACAATTCGGGGAGGATCTGTCTGTGGTGGGGGTTGGGGGTCAGATTACTCTATTTTCCAGACCAGATTTCCAATTGGGTGATGCCTCTGCTGGACTGCTACCTCAAATGTCAGTCCCCATGACCTTCTGGTTGCTCAGCTATTTTAATTAAAGGATGGTTCTAAGCCCAGCCCAGCAGTGGGCTATCTATTATTTATCCAGCATTTCCCCTCCAACAGCTAGAGAAAGGTCAGGGGCTTCAACAGCTGCTTTATTTTGGGTAAGCAGCTTAGATGAAAAAAGAGAGACAATCAATCCCTGCTTCCCTCCTGTTTGGGCACAGGCAGGACATTGTTTAATAGTCATTGTGGCATTTAGGATCCTCGGCCCCAAACCAGTGTGCCTGTATGTGAGTGTGTGTGTATCCCTTGCTGTTATACTTTCCCCCAAGCAAACATCAGGTTGTGATGATGGGTAATGAGGTATGGATTTATTTGCAAATGTCATGGCCGAAGACTGAGGGCATGGGCACCCACAAAGACCACGAGATGGCGCTGTGTCCTCACACTGGTCCACACAACCCATACAGCTGCCTTGGCACCTAGTAGAATTCCAGACCTGACGTTGGGGCGTGCCCTTATACCATCATGTTTTGGCTAAAAGTTAAGAAGCAGAGGTCCTGGGGTGGAATTGGTAGGACAAGGGACAATGAGACCTCTGTCTAGGGGCCTGTGAAGTCACTGACAGTCTTTTTTGAAGGGCAGGACAGGGAGTAGCAATGTGCCCAACCCTAGGAAACTGGTCCAGGTTACTGTTTCTTATCCTTATTATGTCTGTGACTAATGTGGACAACTTGATGGGAAGGGGCAAAGCGAGAGATCAACACTAGGATAGACTTGTTGTTTAATTGTATTTCTGTCATTGTCTGACTCCTGTGACCCCATTTAGGATTTTTTTAGTAAAGATCCTGGAGTGGTTGGCCATTTCCTTCTCCAGATTGTTTTACACATGAGGAAACTGAGGAAAACTGGGTTAAATGACTTGTGCAGGGTCACACAGCTAGTAAGTGTCTAAGACCAGATTTGAACCCAAGAAGATGAGTCTTTCTGACTCCAGGCCATACACACTCTACTGTGCCGCCTAGCTGCCCAGGGTAGACTTGGGGAAGGGTAAAGAAGGACAGAATAAGTAATAGGGATTTTCCCTTTCCAACTAATTAGCCGGCAATCTACCTATACCCTTTAGTACATTGGGCCTCAGTTTCCTCATCTGTGAAAAGGGGATAATAGTACTTGCCCTATCTACTTCCCAGGGTAGTTGTGAGGAAAGCACTTTGGAAACTCAAAATCTCTATAGAAATGTGAGTTACTATTATCATTTATGATTTCTTTTTTCCCTTTTCCACAAACCACAGATACGGCCACTGGTTAAGACCCTAGCACCAAGACATTGTTGCCTCAGATGGGGTCAACAGTTGCCCTGATCCATCTTCTTCAAGGCTGGATCCTTTCAAGAGATGATGCTTTGAATATTCTTCATATGAAATTCAGAGGGAAGCAGTCCTTTTGTCTCTAAATCTGCTGGTGGGAAGGGGAAGGAGGAAGAGAAAAAGGGAAAAGAAGAGAAGGAGGGAGGAGGAGAAGGAGGAAGGAGAGGGAGAAGAGGAAGGGGAAAAAGAGGAGAAGAAAGGCGTTTTGGTATAATGGAAAGAGAATTGTCTCTAGATTCAAGAGATCTGGGTTCAGATCCCATCCCCAATGGTTACTATTTCCATGACCCTGGACAAATCACTTAGCTTCCCTGGGTCTCAGTTTTCTCATTTGTAAAATGAGGTGTGGACTAGGTGGCCTCTGAGAACCCCTTCAGCTTTATACCTGTGATCCTAGTACTAGTGAGACAGTCCAGATGGAGCTGGGGTCGGGCTGAGGGTAGTGAAGGGCCCTGTTGGAGGCAGGGATCTGAAGTTCCAAGAGAATTCATTCTCCTTTCCTTTCCATCTCAACTCCTCTGCTTTAAGCTGCCTCTTAGTCTTCAAGTGTTCCATGTAAACTATGTGCCTTCTGGGTGGCCTCTTGTTCTTTGCCCCGGGCTGGAGGGAGTAGGAAGGTGGGCCCCTCCTAATAGTATCAAGAGCCAAGTTTGCCATGGGGCAATTGACGCCACTGCAGAATTTGGCCCAGATATCTGAGGACTATGAAATCATGGAAAGGGCAGCAGGATAAGGGTGGATGAGTGGAAAAGTTTAGTCTTCTAGTTCTGCAATTGAATCTGAGACTTTTCAAAAGGATGCACCAGTTGTTCTTCAGATCCCCTCTCAGTGCTCACAGCTTGAAAGCCGAGGATGCTTGAGGTCATCTCTTGAATATTAAAAAGGAAGCCAGGCGGCTTTTGGACTTTATCACCCAGCTTCTCTTTCCTTCCACCAGCCGAGATGCAATGGCCCTTTTCCATCACCCCAGCAGGAGTCACAGCCTCCTAGTTCCTAAAGGACCTTCTCTAAGTCATCACATTTCTCATGCCTGGCTACCCACCAAGAACCATCTTCCCATACTGCCAAATCTTTCGTTTTTGGTGTTAACAGAGACAGCTTCTGAAGGCTTCCAGCCATCTAGGGGTAAAGCCAGACACATGGTGGGGTGTCAGGTACAATATATGGAGTGCCTGTCTGGGGTCCTGTTATGTGGGAAACTCAAGCCTATTTAATAACGATGATGGTGATGATAGCACCACCACCAGGACCATTCCCCCCCTGACATTTATATAGTACTCCAACATTTGCAAAGTGTTTTATGTACTTTATCTCATTTTAGCTTCACAACAAGCGTGTGAGGTTGTTAATACTACAGATATTATTGTCCTTGAGTTACAGATAAGGGACTCGAGGTGAGGAGGTAATCTTACAGTCAACCAATGTGATTAGTGGAGTTTCCATTTTTAAAGCAGGAAAATCAAGACCCTTGATTTCTTGATATTTGATGTGAGGTCATTTAGTCGATTTGATTCAAGACCCTTGACTCCTGATTTTCTTGCTCACCCTGGGGGTTTACAGATGGATGCTTTCAGTGGAAAGAGCAGTGCACTGCTGAGGCTAGAACATGGATGCATTAATATTGTAATAAAAATCACAAGTTGGGGAAGCTGGCTTTGAATGAATGAAAAAAAAATTAAGTGCCTGCCATATACTAAGCACTGTACTAAATAATGGAGATTCAAATACAAAAGCTAGACTGTCACTGCCCTCAAGTAAGCTTAGGGCAGCACACATAGGGGTAAGATGTCCAAGGAAGACAGTTTTGGTTTAAGGAGTCATAGGGATAGTGAGTGGAGTCAAAGGGCAATAGACTGTCACATTATTTCCAAAAGCAACAGTAGTGTGAATTTCAGTACTGTTCATAGAGCATGAGGTAGAAGACTGGGATTAGGGAGTTTCTGTATGTGGTTGGCAGTGCAGATGGCAAGATGCCCATGGTGGATGGCTGGATAGGATGTGAAAAGCTTGGTCTGGGGCTGGCTAGATTTAGTGAGTTAGATGAATTTGCATTCATTTAATGGTCAGCATAGCTCAGCCCCAGGGTGGGCTTCCAAAAACCAGGTGGATTTCCTTGGTGGGATGGGAGTGGGGAATGATCTCCAATCATCTGCAAGTTACAACCAGCTCTTTACCTTTTGGCATCCTTTTTGTCCCACTAGGGCATTGGTAGCAAGAAGATAGAGCTGGCCAAAGTTTGGCATATATTGATGTTCTAGGTAAGGCATTCTTAGGAGGTCTGTAAACTTGGATGTGAAAAAAAAATACATCTTTCTTTCAATATAATGAGTTCTCTTTGTAATTCCATGTGTTTGATCGTATGCATTTAGAAACATGATTCCGAGAAGGGGTCCATGTGCTTTACCAGATTGCCAGAAGGGGTCCATGACACACAAAAAGGTAAAGAACCCTTTCTAGACAGAAAAGATGTCAAGTCTAGAGAATGGACTCATAGGATCTTAGAGGTGGAAGGGTCCTCAGAGGACCCTTCACCAGAATCATTAATCCTGTCTGTAGAATTTTGGATAAGTGGTCATTCAGCTTCCATCAGCTTCAGAGACCTTCCATGATGTGGAACCCATGACCTCCAGAGCCAGCTAACTCTACTTTTTGAGTAGCTATAATTGTTAGGAGCTTTTTTCTTTATACTGAATCAAAGTCTGCCTCTCTTTAACTTCTACCCATTGTCCCTAGTTCTATCTTCTGGAACCTTGAAGGTAGCTATCATGTCATAAGGTCATAGGATGTTAGGGGCACAGGGTTTAGAGCTAGAAGGAAGCTTACAGACTATTCCAGATTATTCATTTTACAGACTCTTTCCTAAGTCTTATCTCCTGCAGGTTGAATATTCCTGGTTCTTCAACTGGTCCATGGATGGAATCAACGTATGGTGGTTGTTGGCCTTTGTTCTTGAAGAGACCAAAATGACACCACTATGTTGAGGTTGAGGTACGGTATGTCTGACTGTGGCTGATCAGCTTACAAGGAATCAATCAATCAATCAATCAATCAACAAACATTTATCATGGTCTAAGCATTGTACCAGGCACTGGAATAGTTCTAAGTCTCTTCCTCTCCTTTGTTGCCCAGAGCATCGGCATCCTTTCAAAAATTGTTGCCTAGAACTGAACTAAACCTCAGTGTCCTGTGTAACAGCAACTGGATTTGAGAAATGAATAGATGCTAATAGGGAAATAGTTGTTAATGAGGGCATGATTTCCCACTCAGGTAACACATGTGCATTTTGCAATCACAGGACCTAAATTCACATGTGGTGAAAATCAAGTACCAGAACACGTCCAAAGAAAAGGTAATTTTGAGCAGAAGAACTTTCAGCTTGCTCTGAAAATTATGGAACATAGCTAGCCACCTACACTGTAGACAGAGCTAGCTGTGGATCTGAGAAAGAGCTTCTCAGACTTGTTATAGGAGGCCATGGAATCTCTCCCAGAGTTCTTAAAGAACAGGACAGCTAGACCTCTGTCTGGCACGGCTCAGATGAAGATAGGAAGGAGGCCATGGATTAGATGGCTTTATGAATGTCCCTTCAATTCTGAGAGTCTCTGAGGTAGCCAAGATCATGTTTTATTCATGATGGACCTAAGGATGGAGGCAGTGTGGTATAGTGGCTAGAGAGACAGCATTAGAGGGGAAGGTCTAGGTTCAAGTCCTGTCTCTGACACATATTGGCTGTGTGGCTTTAGACAAGTCACTTATCTTCTTAGTAACCCCAGGCTTTTAGACTTTAAATTACAGAATAATTGCTCATTTGCATTGTTGGAGTGAGTTTCCGTACCAAGGAGCTCCCTATGCCAATGAAATTACAGATCAGTGGGGAGAGACGGAGAGATAGAGATACGGATGGACAGACAGAGACAGAGAGAGACAGAGACAGGTGACAGAGAGAGGCTCATGAAAATAGGCACACACATTTATATAGGAGGAGAGAGCCCAGCATGTTACATGTCAGCTGACATCTACCATGTAAGGGCACTTCCTCTGTCAGTGAACCTGTCTTTTTCTCCTGGCCACCACAGACTTATTGAGTAATATATTATAAGTGCGTCTCATTCTGATGATGTGTTATGGGTAAATCATTAAGGAGGCAGCTCACTGCAGTGAAATATTGGTATAATAGATCATCAGAGTGAAGTCTTCTACAGATGTACAGTCTTGCTCAAAGGGTGGTATCATTCAGGAAAGAATTAGCCCAGCAGCTTATCTGGTTTAATTACAGGATAAAAGGTATGTGAATGATAGGTCGGGTCTTTGGCATCAGCATTTTGATTCACAATATAAGAATATAATTGGGCTTCCTGAGAGAATTTCTGATTATTTTCAAACCGCCTTCTGCCTTATCATAGTAATACAACTTGTCATGTGGTTACCATTGTACCTTTTATCCAGGCATCTCCAGCCCCTTTCTTCCACTGGAATTGTTTTCCTCTTTTCACAATTCTAGGTCCCAGAGTGAATCAAGTAGGATAAACTCCAAGAGGCCTGCCTCTCAGGCCCTCTGGATAATCTCTTTAGTGTAGAAGTATTTCCACATATTAAAGGTTTTCTGATTCCATCATTGCTCACTCTCCACTTATGGAGATCACAATCATTCTGCCCCTCAGTAGGTGGTCTTTATGAATTATTGTGGCCAAAAAATTCATTACCATGTGGCCAACTGGCTGCTGCTGAGACTCTTCAAATTTAGCTAAGTAGGTCCTTGGATGGAAGATACTGACAGTCTGTTATTGGACCTGGACTTGAAGCCTTTCCAGCTTGAACTCTGCTGGCATGGCCTTGGAGAACCTGGGAGCATGTCTATGCCAAGAATTGGAGTAGTGTATGAGTATATATAGACTAGAAAAGGTTCTAAAAATACAATTTATAAAAATTTAAGCAATAAGTCATCTGGAATTAAGCGATTTAATCCAATCAACATATAACTACTGATCCTACAAATGACAGGCCTCATTCTGACAATCCCAGAAGACTTCTTCATTGGAAAACTTACTATCTGCCATTTTGTTTCCAGTCAGAGGCCTAATGTGCAATGCAAACTTAAATTGCATCATGGTGCCTATGATTGTAGAATTAAATTCAGTCAAAATGATTCAGCTCCTTGAAAGTTATAAATAGATAGACAGTAAAATGCTGGTGTGAATTTGAGTCATTTCACACAGCCCCTGGTATTAGGGTACCAAAAATACATGCTTCCTGCCCTCAGGATGCTTATGTGTAATAGGGCTCTAGCCTGTTATAGCCTTTCTTAGCATTGGCAGTAGGGCTATGCCCCACAGGACAAGTCCCTTTGTTAGAAATTGGCAGGTTTTTCACCTCTTTTCTGTTTCAAGGAAGGAATGAAAGCTCCATGAAAGAGGTGGGGCTCAGAGCTTAAGTTATTTTATTGCTCAGTTGTAATAAACAAGTTTTCAGGGGATTGGCTCAAAGGTGTTTCAGGCCTGGGCATAGGATAATAGATTTAGAGTTGGAAAAAGCCACTAAATCCAATTCCCTCATTTTATAGATGAAGAAACTGAGGAATAGAAAGGCTTAATGATTTGCCCAGGGTTACACAGCTAAGAGGTATCTAAGGCAGAATGTGAACCCAGGTTTTCATATCCATTCTGCCATGTTGTCTTTTGGGGAGAGCTCCTTATGAAAGAATTTGCTTGACTGCCTTTGGAAACCACAGTAAAAGGTGAGCTTTAGAATAGAAGAGCCTCCCATCTGTTAAGAGGGTACAGATACTAGTAAGATTAAGTCTTCATTCCTTTTGTTGCTATTCTGTCATGCCTGACTTTTCATGACCCTAGCTGAAGTTTTTCTTGGCAAAGATACTGGAGTGGTTTGCTGTTTCCTTCTCCAGCTCATTTTACAGATGAGGAACTGAGGCAAACAGGGCTAAGTGACTTGCCCAGGGTCACACAGCTAGTAAGTGTCTGAGGTCAGATTTGAACTCAGGGAGATGAATCTTCCTCACTTCAGGCCTAGCATTCTATCCACTGTGCCACCTACCTGTCCTTCATTCCTGTGTTGATGTATTTACTAAGGATTTCCAGATTTAAAAGCTAGGTTGGATGTAAAGAAATCAGACATGTTCTCTCTATTTGTTCCTGAGCAGTACACTAGCAGTGTCTCCTCCCCTTTAAGTAATATCAGACCCCCCAGCAGAATGTAAGTATCTTGAGGGCAGATGTTGTCTTTTATTTTGTCAATCATGGAAAACATTTTTAGTTTATTAGAAGCAGTCCTATCTGTTTTTATTTTGTTAGGAGGACAAGTGGAGAACGTAGAGTCATTCTGAGCTTGAGTTTCTGGGAGCACTTGGTAGATGCTTTATAAATGTTTGTTGGATTGAATAAGACTCTCTATTGACTTATAAAATATCAAGCAGTCTGGGATAGGGGGAAATGACCATGAGTTAGGGAAAATGATCATAGGCCCTCACCTTGTCCTAATATTGATTTTCATGAAGTCATGCTTTAGGGCAGGGTGGAGAATGCAAGTTGATGACAGCATGTGGCTACCAACCAAATTTTCCTTTCTGTGGAAGTCTCCAAGAACCTAGAGCTAATCCAGGATTTTCCCCAAACCTTTTGATGCACACCTGTGGCTCCAATGGAAGAGGCATGGTGGCAGCAAACAACTAAGGTTTTGTGATTGACTGTTAGATAACCATTGACTTGTTGGGGACTCTTATTCTAGGGGAGATCAATCAACATAATTTAGTGCTTTATTATTTCATGGATTAGAGTTGAAGTCAAATACCTATGGGCAGCCCATAGGTGCTGTCCAATATCAGTAAATGTTTCTTCAGTTTGTGATTCTCTAATTTTGGTGGTCTTCAATATTTTTTGTTTTGCAATATCTGTATATTTTCTGTAATTTTTACAGAATTGATTCATTCTATTTCTATTTGCTTCAACATTGGTACTTCAAGAACATTGTGATCATTTATAGGAACAATGGGAAAAGTATTTGAAATTGGGACAGTTCTTGAATATCTGGGAAGCATTGTTGACAAAACTATGAAAGACTTTTTTTTTTTTAGTGTACTGGAAACTGCCCTACATATTTTTATTTTGCAAGGAGGGATACAGAATAGGTGAAAGAGATAGAGCTATTATGGGTCTGAGTTTTTGGGAGAGTTCTAGAGTAGAGTGTTTTCTGTAGAGAATATTTGGTGATTCATCATTTCGTTTTTTTCCCCACTTAATAGTATTTTATTTTTTCTAATTACATATAAAGATAGTTTTCAACATTCACTTTTCTAAGATTTTGAATTCCAAGCTTTTTCTCTCTCCTTCCCTCTTCTCCCCCCTCCTCAAGATGGCAAGTAATCTGATATAGATTGTACATGTACAATCATATTAAACATATTCCATATTAGTCATGTTGTGAAAGAAGAATCAGAACAAAAGGGAAAACTATGAGAAAGAAAAAAACAAAAAACAAAAAAAGAGAAAATAGTATGCTTCGATCTGCATTCAGACTCCATAGTTCTTTCTCTCGCTGTGGTTAGCATTTTTCTATCATGAGTCTTTTGGAATTGTCTTATGGGCATTGTCATTGTATTGCTGAGAAAAGTTGTCTATCAAAGTTAGTCATCGTACAATGTTGCTGTTACTATTTACAATGTTCTCCTGATTCTGCTCATTTCACTCAGCATCAGTTCATGTAAGTCTTTCCTGGTTTTTCTGAAATCTGCCTGCTCATCATTTTTTTTTATAGAACTTTGGTATTCCAGTATATTCATATACCACAACTTGTTCAGCTATTCCCCATTTGATTGGTATTCCCTTAATTTCCAGTTCTTTGCCACCACAAAAAGAGCTGCTATAAATATTTTTGTACATGTGGGTCTTTTTCCCTTTTTTTATGATTTCTTTGGGATTCAGACCTAGTAGTATTATTTCTGAATCAAAGGGTATGCATAGTTTTATAGCCCTTTG